GGCTTGCGCATGCGCTATGATGCAGTTTACTTGGCATCTGAAAATACATTTCCTCAAAGGCATTATTTTTAATCTGAAAAGAGCTTCACTGAGTGAGAACTAACGAGCTCAGCAGACAGTTAAGTTTCACTTCCAATTTCACCCGAGAGCCTGCAGGAGTCATGGGCAGGTCAGGGTGTGTGGGGAGGGGGAGAGGGCGGAGAGGGGGTGCGCTCTGCCATGAGGAAGTTCAGCTTAAAAACACGTCCCAGGGGCGTTTCTGGTCCCCACCTGTTGTTTTGCTCCTCAGCATGGCTGCCTAAAAACGCTGCAGGATTTCTCAAACATGCATGAATGAGTCAAAGCAAGGCTTTGGGCATGTTTTTATGAGAGTATAACACTATAACATGATATAAAACACAAAAAATTTGATTTTACATGATATTGCCCCTTTAGTAAACTTGGCGTACCACACATTATGTTACCCATTTGGACACATAACTGACCTATTTTTTTTAACTTGGCTTGGCAAAAGAGAAACAGGAAGTGACATCAAAGGGGAACTCTTTTAAGACAAAGAACTCACTAGTCTTTGTTTTATGAAACATTATGATTTGAAATCTGACTCTTTTGTTTTGTTTTGTTTCTGTCTGATAGTGACTCAGAATAATCTAAAATTCCTCTCCACAGTCTGGGCTGTTGAGCATTTTAGCTTAGCTCTGTTTTCATGCAGACGTTCCCCTTTGGCATCACTTCCTGTTACCTCACATGCAAATATCTCAACAGCTTTTCATCTCAGCAGCATGAAAATGATTTTGTAGCATGTTCTCAATGTTATCTTTCCAAAAATCCATTTTTATTTTTTAAAAAAGTTTGATGTCACAGGAACTTTAATGGTTTAAACCAGTATTGCTGAAACTCTTGTCATTGCCCATCAAAAGACAATTTTATAATCAAAATCTGGCATCAAAAATGTGGTGGGCGATATGCATTCTTTCTATGAATTTTAGCCCTTTAATTAATGCCAATTAAGTTCTACCAAGGCAACAGTTGAATCTAGTTTCATTTTGGCAGCTTTTTTTTTTCAGTCTGCAAATCCTCCAGCAGTGACCTCATAATTAGCTCYGTCTTATTCGTGCTCACATCAACAAAGTGTTGGAGGCGAATGAATTCTTAACATTGAACAGCAGTTGAACAAAGGAGCCTGCGGAGTGACTTCAGTCCCTCCACAGAGGGAGAGGACGTCCCGTGGCTTCGGTACAGTCGCCGGGTCRTTGTGGAGGCTCGCTTTAAATAGGAAGGGTGTCAGATCTGCATAACGGAAGGTGACAAAGGAGCAGTCTGGGAGCTGTGCCGAGTTCAAGGTGGCTTTGGTTCAGTCCATTACAGAGTCAGCCTCCTCCTTTTAGGAAGTTATAGAGAGGGGAGAGGTTTGTGGTCTGATTAGAAAGGCCAGAATGACTTCCTWTCTCTGTGTCTGTTAACAAAATATCTCATGAGCCACTGGGTAAATTCTAATTCAACCTTCCAGAAATTAATCATTGAATTAACATCTACAACTCATTGACTTTTGGGGTGAAATCAATTCAACATGGCTGCCACAGCCAGCTGACCTTAAACACCACAAAAATGGCTTCGACTCGAGCAGTTTTAGGAATAGCGACCTGAAATGTGGTGTGATCGTAGCTGAAACTGATCCCCAACGCATATTCTGAGCGCTAACAGGTCACACAAGGTGATTGTTGAAAATTTTGCCATAAAAAAACTAGAGCCAACTCTCTTTGTCCGTTAGCAAAATATATAATGAACCACTGGTTGGATTTTAATGAAAAGTTCAGAAAATAATCTTTAAATAGACATCTGAGACTGATTAACTTTTGGAGTTGACCCAAATAAAGATGGCTGCCACAGCTAAGTGAATTTAGCCGACACAAATGTAGCTCTAACTCGGTCAGTTTGACAGATACTGAGATCAAATTTAACGTGGTAGTAGCTGTGAGTCATTCACATCATATTTTCTGAGCGTGATACCTTGTGTTATTGCAAAAAATATTATTTTCAAGGTTTGTCTTAAATGGCTTCTCAGCATGATAGATCTTGGTGTAAAACTCAGGCATGAAAGGTGATGGGTGATATGCATTCCTTCACAGAATACCAGACCTTTAATTGAAACATTTTCCCCCTTTAATTATAAAAATAAACACTTATAATGTATTTGGTTGGTTTGGTCTCTCAGGACACCCTTCCGAGCGTCGACTTTTATTTTTATGTGTGAGTCATCACAACTTTGCCAGCGTCCCCATCTGCAGCTAAGATCATTTGACTTCTTTTATGAGTTGAGATTTATGCCCCTCTTCATCTTGTCACTGTTGTCCCAAGGAAGAAGAGGTCAATGCAGATTTGTTCAGTGAATAAATAAAATAAATAAGTAAAATGAATAAATAAATAAATAAATAAATAAATTTTTAAAGATAAAAACAAACCAACTCACAAACAGTAATAAGTTAATTTCCAGTCGTGTGGCCATCTTCATGGCAATCAGATTTGACTGTTTTGCTAACGAGCAAATCCGATTGCCAAATGCTGATTTTTCCTGAGGAGGAAAAACAGCTTCTTCATTAAAACAAAAATGGTGTCTTCTTCTTGTCTTTTTTCTTTTTTAATTATAATGCAAGAAGATAGGTAGTCATTCTTTTCATTATGTAACTTTGATTATAAAATGTTAATAACTTGTAGTTAAAAGAAGATATAAATCAAAAATATAAAGAACATTATTATTTTGTTTATAAAAGAAAGTAAAATGTCTCTTTAGAGGGAGGTCTTCTGAGACCAGGGTCAAAGATAGGTGGAAATGTTTATTTGCCCTCGGGGTGACCCTTACATCTGTAACATGTGGGAAGCCTTTGCTCACGTGTTTGTTGCTGCTGTGGGTTTCTGGATGATCCGTGAGCCATCCACGGTGTCTAATTTAATTTGTGCACGCGTGTGGTGAGTGGGTGTCTGTTTGATCGTGTTAAAAATTAGGAACCAGGGTGGAAGACAAGCCAGAAATCTGTTTATGCCTTTTTTATTATATAAAATGTGCAGAATTACAACACAGGTGGGATTTTAACCCATGTCTTGTTTACAGTTAGTGGATTTTGTGTGTTAGTGACACGTCAGATGTGTGTTTTTGTTTGATGCTGATGGTGGRGTGGTCCCAGTCTGTAGTAAGCCGCAGTGCTTCCTCCCTGAGACGCCTCAGTTGTAGTGAGAAGAGCCGCAGCCTCTGGCCACTCCTTCGCCTCCTGCAATTGGAAGAAACAGGCCTCCTCCCTCCCCTGCCTCATTGTCATGCAGGCGACGCAGTGTGTGTGTGTGTGTGTGTGTGTGTGTGTGTGTGTGTGTGTGAGAGAGAGGAGAGAAAGGCAGGAGCCAGTGTGATGGGATAGAGGAGGAGGAGAGTGAATGAGAGCTGCTGGATCTGCCTGGCTTTGCCTGCTTGTTGTCTGCTGAAGCTGGGTTCATCATCACGCCACGAGTCTCGGTCCAGCCTGGAGAAACTGCTCCACCAGCAAGGGGAACCAAAAAAACAAACAAATCAAACAAAACAAGCATCATCTGGATTTTCTGCATCAGCACCACAGGGGAGATGCAGCAGCACCGAGGCGGCCCGGCGCTCTGGTTTTAGGTACCAGCTGCTACCAAACCGCACCTCCTCGGTTCACCTTCACCCGTCCAACGCGCTGCCACCTCTCCTCCCTCGCTCCTCCCATATGCCCTTGTCCTCGGCGGCTCCTCTCACCTCCCTGGCCAGTATATGGATAGAAGCTCCCTGTTTCAGCTCATACAAGAGCAGGTAAGCAATCAGCGGCGGGAGGTTTCTATGGTTACAGGCTCCCGGACCACCTCGCCGTCTATCCAGGGACCGAGACATGGAGGCTGATGGTGGGAGCTGATGTTTGGGGTGGGGGTGGTGAATGAGGAGTGGGACAACATGATGGATGTGGAGCCCCCAGAACACGAGGTCAGAGCAGCAGGAGGGCGGCGTTGGTTTTAATTGGTCGTGTTTGTGTGAACGGAGGGATTGATTGAATGTGTGGATGGAAGGATGAATCCACTGCAGTGTTTTTTTTCCTGTGGAGAACGAAACAAACGCTCAGTTTCTGCTGCTGCATCAACATTTGAGGCAGTGTCAGTGTAACTGGGTGCCATTCCTGTTTTATTGTCGCAAAAAAACCAAAGGCTGAAAGATGAGACGTTTTTTTTAATTTATTTTAAGGTTTAAGCTTTTGATCAGACATTTTAAGCACAAATAATTTTGCTGTTTCAGCATTTAGTCTATTGTCCTGTTTTTTAATGTTTTAATTCATTGTTTCAGTCTAATTGCTTCTGCATACTGTGTGCTTTTTAGATGTTCTTCTATCAAAATGGTCCACTCATTCAGGAGATGGGTGATGGGACTTTTAGTCATTGTAACTATAATACAGGAACAAATATTTAACTGTAGGTCAAATTAAATTCCCCATAGTGATACATTGAGTTTTCTTCAATTTGCTCCAAAACATTGTTCCCTTAAAACCTTCTCTTTTATTTTGTTTTCTTAAAATGCTTTGTTTTTGCATAGCCTTTTGCTACTTTTAGTTTTTAAGTGTCATTCAGCTAATTTTAGATTGTAACTACTCTTCTGCTACTTTTAGCTTTCAGCTAGGCTTTTGCTACCTTTGGCTTCTATCTTCCATTAAGCTACCTTAAGTATTTAAATCAGCCTGAATCACATTTAGCTGTTACCTACATTCAGCTTCTTTTAGCCTTTAATTTGGCTACTTAGAACTTTTAAACATTTGCTGCTATGAGCATACTGTTTTGCTACTGTAAGCCTTATTTAACTTTAAGCTAGTCTTTTGGTACTTTTAACTTTTAGCTGCTATCCTTGATTTAGCTTTATCAACACAGCAAATCTCAGAAGTCATTCAGCATGCAGGGCAGCTTTTCCTATTCTTGTTTACCTTTTAAATTTAAATCTGCTACTCGACGTTAAACTTGATGTTTTTTCTCAACCACGTTGTCGGGAAGGTTTGAAAAACCGCATTCAGGCCAGTGAAAAATGTTCGCCTCGACATATGGTTTTGTAAAAGCCTCCAGCTAAAACAACCATTTTTACTCTCCAGTCTAATTTAACTTTTTGGTCTACTGGTCCAGATTTAACAAACCATAATGGGATGAAGGGGGCAGAACCAAAAACCATGTTTATATTTGGGGTAGAGCCTCTGGAAAACAGAAGTTATTTTTTGCGTCTGTGTGTGTGGGTCTTCCCTACTATACGGGGACCATTTTTGGCATACACCCCTACTTGTGGAGACCAACTGGTACTTATGGAGACATGAGCCTAGTCCACATGGCGGTAAATGTCATTCGTGGGTCAGTGGTTAGGTTTAGGACTAAGGTGTGAATTGAGTTTAGGTAAGTTTTAGGGTCAGGTACCTGTGAGGTAAGGTGTCAGGGTTAGGCTGTAGAAATTAATGGTACTTAGTGCAATGTCCCCATAAAAATAGCTGTACTAGACTGTGCATCTGTGTGTGTGTGTGTGGGGGGGGGTTGTTTCTGGTGACATTTGGGGGCAATTTTAAGACAAAAATCCTACCTTTGGGGACAACTGGTGCATTTGGGGACAAA